TTGGTGGTGAGTGTTGTATTTTGTTAATATAGGAAGTAATAATAGTGCAACAGTTAAAAACACGGATTTTGGAGACACATATACCTGGCCAAGAATTTCTGTTTTACGTTTACTATGTGTGTGACCTTGAGCAGGTTTCTTAATGTCCTTGACTTACAATATCAGAAAAAATAATGTCTACCTCATAAGGTTTTGGGATTTAAAGGTTATATTCATTAAGTACATAGCATATTATTACATAAATACTAGCTGCTAATGTTGCTAGTTCTACTACTACCACTCTTACTGCTATTTTCATCTTCATGCTTTTAGCACAGACTTCTAAGCTCTCAGCACATTTCTTATATGTAAATTATTATTATTATTATTATTATTATTATTATTTTAGAGACAGAGTCTCTCTCTGTCATCCAGGCTGGAGTGCAGTGGCACGATCTCTACTCACTGCAACCTCTGCTTCCTGTGTTCAAGCAATTCTCATGCCTCAGCCTGTCAAGTAGCTGGGATTAATGGCATGTGCCACTGTGCCTGGCTACTAATTTTTTGTATTTTTAGTAGAGATAGGATTTCACCATGTTGGCCAGGCTGGTCTTGAACTCTGGAGCTCAGGCAATCTGCCTGCCTTGGCCTCCCAAAGTGCTTTTTTAGGGACATGAGGCACTGCACCTGGCTATTCTTATATGTAAATTAAAGTAAGTGTCCTTTTTAACTTTCGTTTGGGACTGATGTCAAGATGGTATGATAAGTTGAAATCCTTGTGACTCTAGCATTTTAACCATATAACCGTGAGAGTTTAATCTGCTTTTCTCTCCATCAAAGCACCTTGTAACTCCTAGCATCAAGAACCCCTATACTGTCAAACCATCTTGAAGTCATCTTGTTGCTTTATCTTACGGTCAGGGGTTACTGCTTATAACTGAAGGCTACGTTACAGTTATGGTGCTCTGGAGGCCTCTAATGCAAAAAACAAAGCGCCATCATCACCACCAACAACGGAAACTTAATGATGATGATTTTCAGCCAGTTTTATTATTATTTAAGTGCTTACTAAATGTCAGTCATTCTTTTAAGCCCTTTACACTTATTAACTATTAACTAAATTAATCCTCACAGCAACTTTAAGAATAGTCCTTTTGTTACCCTCATTACAGATGAATCAATCGAGGCACAGAGAATTGAGTAACTTACCCAAGGTCTTATAACTAGTAAGGGACAGAGTTGTAATGTGCACTCAGCAGGGCACCTTCACACCCTGTGCTCTTAGCCACAGTGCTGTACATGCCTGTATTACTATGTTGTCACTTGTCTAGTTTGTATGCAACATGTCTGGAACAGATAGCTTGGTTGTAATAAATTGTTAGTCTGGATTTCTAGAAACCTGGGCTCTGCCCCCAGCTTTGCTGTGAGTTAGCCCAGTAGGTTTCAAACTTAAAGATATGTAATATATATAAGAATCACCTGAGAGATAGTTAAAATGCAGTTTCCCAGGTTCTACTCCCAGAGATTCTCATTTAGTAATTCTGATACGCTCTTCAGGAATCTGCTTCTTCAATGGGCCACCTATGTAATTCTGATGCAGAATTTTATACTTTGAGAAACATCATACTAGTAATTTGGTCAATAGGTATATCACTTCTCTGAACCTATTTTTTTTCATCTTTGAAAAGACTGAACAAGACTAGAGAATTCCTAAGGTATTTTTTTAACTCCAGTTCTTTAATCTAGGAAACATTTTAACTTAACATACAAAAGGCCGGGCGCGGTGGCTCACGCTTGTAATCCCAGCACTTTGGGAGGCCGAGGCAGGTGGATCACCTGAGGTCGGGAGTTCAAGACCAGCCTGACCAACATGGGGAAACCCCGTCTCTACTAAAAATACAAAATTAGCCGGAGTGGTGGCACATTCCTGTAATCCCAGCTACTCGGGAGGCTGAGGCAGGAGAATCGCTTGAACCCGGGAGGCGGAGGTTGTGGTGAGCCGATATCG